AAAATTTCATGAAAACATAAACAGAACCTTTACAACTACTGTACTAGGGAAATATCTATAAATTTTTTTATGATAAAGATTCTTTTATGCTACATTATATTAGATTGATCAAAACTGTTTTGATATTTGTTAGTTTGAAGGTCTTTGAGACTCCCACTTTGGAGATTTCAATACTTTTCACCACGTCGATCCTTTGAAATGCATTAAAGGGGCAAGCTTTCAAACTAAGGATTCTATTAAGAAACAACAATTTGTTAAGATTTGTTCCTTCAAGCAATTCCTAAGAAACTAAAGCTGACGTTTTAGTTTGAGACTCAAGGCTGAGAGAAAAGCTGCAGCAAGCCCTGGAGAACAAGTAGAAAATACTTGCAAGAGGCACAATGTGTCCGTGATGCAAGAATAACAATAAAAAAAATTAGATTTAGTTGTAAGAATCCACAAGAATTTGTAGATGAAATTAGTGCTATTTATCCAATAGGCTTCAGTTTAATATAACTGAAGTCTTTTACTGACAGTCAAATTACTCAAGATACGTTTAGCTTCAAAAAGAAACAATACAATAACTGCAATTTAAAGATAACTTCAATGAAATTCCTAAATTGCTAAAACAATATAATATCACTGTTGCATATACACTGATCTATCATAAACACTGATAAATATTACCCCTAGTAATTGTAATGGTTTATAAAATTACATGCACAAATTTTATTGAATTCTATGTTGGACAAATTGGCAGTGACCTAAACCATAGAATACAAGAACAAAAATATTGCATAATGATCGGTCAAGTGTATTGTTTAGTCAATCAAAATATTATAATCATTCAACTGATTGGACTATTTCATGCAAAATTGTTGTGTAAATCTGTTATTACAAAATGTAATTGGATTTTCATTTATAAAAAGGAGTGAATTAGAAATTATAGATTTGTCCAAGATTGTATAAATTAGATAATTTTAGAACTAGTAAGATTTGCAATAGGTAAATTGCGAGTTCTGGGAGGTAAAAGAAATGACACGTGCACTCGGTGGTTCAAATTTTGACGAGTTAGATCAAGGAGTTTACAAGAATTAATGGGATCTTAAAAAGGGAGAGACTGTATAGGTATGTCTTTGTTAAACTGTCAATATGTGTAGTGTCTAAATATGAAAAACTAGGTTTAATATTAACTGAATAGAAATAAACCAGGAAGCTGTTTAGAATGATACAAAGTAGTGCATATTTTCAAGGCCACACTGTACAGTGTATGTATGAAGAAAGTGTATGTGCACACATATGTATACAGGTATATATTTATACTGTATATATAATATACATATACAAGAATCATCATGAAAACACATGATTCAACTACACAGAAACCTAAAATAATTCGAGCATTTTCGTGTATTAGTATACTGTATTTTCAAGGAACGTGAGTAAACTAATAAACATATACCATAAGGAAGTGACAAGTATAGGTAAATTGTATAATGGGAATAGGCCTTCTGCAGTTTCATGTATCCTTATGAGAATAGGACACATACATTTTAACCCATTATGTTCATTTTTACATAATTTTGTACTTATCACAAATCTTACAAAGTATGAAACTACATTTATACAATCCTGGACGTAATTCACAACTTTTTATAAATGAAGATTCAGTTATATTTCTGTCACTTAACTGATTTAGACTATTATTTTGCATGAATTAATCCAGTCAATTGAATGATTACACTCCCTTTAAGTGAACACTATACATGACTTAACCTGTTCCAATGTTATTTGTGTTTATAATTTTTTTTTTAGTCTAGGTGTTTGCCAGTTTGTTTATTATTTATGATAAATAATTTATTACAAAATTTGAGGGAAATTTCTAATCATAATTTTTATATAAAGCTTTCTCAATGCCACAATGATATTAATTGTTTTAGTAATTTTAAAATTTCACTGAAGTTATCATGAAATTACTTTTTTGCATTCTATTCTTAATCAAATTATAAAAAAGTATTAAACAATTTGACAATTCTTAAACAAAAATGTTTGGGGTACTTTAAATTGAAGCATTTATGATAAATAGCACTAATTTTATCATTATAAAATCAAGACAACATATTCTTAGAGCCCTTCCTTATGTTTGTTTCTTAGTGTACTCACATGTGTGGGGGTTATATACTGTATATAAGGTGACTAATTTCATCTTTAGCAGTGATAGAGAAGAATCTGAAAACTTGAGGAAGGTGAAAAGGTCACCACTAGAGTACGAGACAATAACGTTTGTGTAAATAATATAGGAATGGAAGTCCATGAATTTGTAAGTATCCTGCCTACCACTTGTATTATAACTCACCAAGGAATTTATTTGGGAATTCAATAGTCTCAAATCTGAGTACCAACACAACATGCATCTTCACTGTTTGTGCCGTTCACATTCCTTCAGAGTATAACATTAAAGAAACAAAGGTATTAATTATTCCTTGAAAAATCACAATTTTTTCTGTGGTGTTGATGACTCAACCCATCCCATCCTCCTGAAATGATAGTTCTTATAGTAAGCATTTGGTCATAGGTGCCAATATGTCGTGATGGATCACCAGTAAACCACTTTTTATACTATTAATTTTACAGTCCAGAAAAAATAAAGTTGAAAACCAAACCATATTCCTAGGCCTATTATAGTACATATATGTACTCTATTATTATGCCTAAGAGAGCATGATTTAGACCTAGGATTGCTAAGAAAAGAGAGGAGAGGTTTTGTATTTATGTTGCAACTGAAAAGCGCTTCCGGTTTGTCAAAATTTAATAATATGAAATCAACTTTCTAATGGTCCCAAATTCAATAATACGAAAGTCAACTTTCTACTGGTCTATCACTATATGTGTGCGTTTTCAACCACATACTTATTACAAGTACTTTCATTTTTGGAGAATGGGCCGTGATAATCGGGTACACATACCAATACCATTTCACTTGATTACGACAACACACTCATCCAGGAACATGTACTGTTACCATTTCACTTGAATACAACGACACACTCATTCAGGCACATAAGCTGCAGCAGCAATTCCTTCAAGGGACTATATACAGTACAATCAACTGGATTTATATTCCTTAATGAAACACCACAAATCTGAATGTACTCAAGGCTTTACTTGCCATGTCAGGACAAATCTGTTCTTTATCCATCTCCTTACAGTATGTTCACTTCCTCAGACTTGGCAGAAAGAGATGCAACAGATGATCTGGAGGAAAAATGTATACTGTATTAGATATAATATGACTAATTATAATCCAAAAAAAGTATTATTCAGCAACATTAACAATATCCATGTTATACTTCATCTTTACCCCATATCTTTACTATACTCCAACTTCTTACTATTACCCTTTTTTCTAGTTACACACTTCATTATCTTCTTACTCCCCCTCTATTCTTTTAACATGATCTCGTCTTTCCCGTCTTGTAGTTCCCATTTTTTGTAACTAAAGATTACTCATGTGACTTTTACATTAAGTATACACATCATACAATATCAAAGACTGCTGACAAACCTTGAGGTGGCATTCTTGAGGCCCGAAGAAGATTCTTGGCTACTGACTGAAGGAGAGGACCTGCTGCCCTTCTTGAGAACCCGCTCAAGGTAGGCAGCTGGAGCCCATCCTTCATAGGGGGTCCCAGAAACTCTCATGTACCACCAGCCAGCACAACCCACTTTGATGAGATCGACATAATCTCCTTCTCGTAGGCTAACCTCTGATCCACCCATGGCATTATAGTCTGCCAGCACCAGGAACCTTGATGATGTGTACTGATGAAAGAAAAATGTCTTACAAAAATTTATGAGAGTGTACATTGTAATCTTCCAAAACATTTCAGCCCTAACACAAATGCACCTTAGTTTTTATGAACAGGAAACAAAATTCAGGCTCTAGATCTCCATATCACATTAAATGTGACAATGACTGACTCCAATCTACCCACTACTACTATGTGACAAGGCCAATTCATAGTTACTTATTACAGTGAGGTAAGATGTCAACCAGAGTCTGGCGTGTGAACAGTATCCTGGGTACACACAGCCTAGGTTAGCAACCGAGAGTCTGTGCTTGGAAAAAAGCATTCCTACTGATGTCTGACCAATGATATAATTTAAAATACAGCTGGCAGATGGTGGCCTATTTCAAAAGCAATAACCATTAGAGACAGTGGCCAGAGTAAATACAGGTAAAAAATTATTCTTTCAAAAACTGTACCTACAGGTAGATAGGTACAGTTCAAGTACAGATACCCATCTACCTACAAGGTCTCTCGAGGCCCCCTAGAGGCCCTTTGAGGTACCTGGAAGTCCCCTGGAGGTCCCCTGGAGATCCCTAAAAATTCCTGGAGGCCCCCTGAAATTCCCTGGAGGTCTCTGGAGGCTCCTGGAGGTCCCATGGATGTCCCTGGAGGCCCCTGGAGGTCTCTGGAGGCCCCAGGATGTCCCTGGAGGTCTCTGGAGGCTCATGGAGGTCTCTGGAGGCCCCTGGAGGTCTCTGGAAGCCCCAGGATGTCCCATTGGAAGCCCCCTAAAGGCACTTTGAAGTCCCTGGAGGCTCCCTGGATATCTGAGGAGGTCCGTGGAGGTCTCCTGGAGTTCCCTGGAGGCCCCTAAAGGCCTCCTGGAGGTCCCTAAACGCCTCCTGGACGTCCCTTGAGGCCTCTGGAGGCCCACCTGGAGGCCCCAGAAGGCCCTCTGAATGTCCCTGGAGGTCTCTGGAGGCCCCTTAGAGGCCTTTTGAGGTCCCTGGAGGGCCCTTGGAGGTCCCTGGAGGCCCTTGGAGGCTTCTAAGGGCCTCCTGGAGATCTCTAAAGGCCTCCTGGAGGTCCCTAAAGGCCTCCTGGAGGCCCCTGGAAGCCACCCGAATGTCCCTGGAGGTCCCTTGAGGGCCCCTGGAGGCCCCTGGAGATCCTTAAAGTTTCTTGGAGAACCCTGGAGAACCCTGAAGGTCCTCGGAGGTCCTGAAACTTTACCGAAGGCCCCTAAAAGTCCCTGGAGGCCCCTGGAGATCCCTGGAGGTCCCTAAAGGCGCCCTGGATGTCCCTGGAGAACCATGGAGATCGCTGGAGGTCTCTGGAGGTGCCCTGGATATCCCTGGAGAACCATGGAGGCCCCTTGGGTGTCCCTGGAGGCCCCTGGAGACCCGTAAAGGTTCCTCGAGGACCCCTGAAATTACTTGGAGGTCTCTGGAGGCCCCTGGACGTCCCCTGGACGTCCCTGGAGGTCGCTGAATGTTTCTGGAGGGCCCCAGGATGTCCCTGGAGGCCCCCTAGAGGCCCTTTGAGGTCCCTGGATACTTCTGGAGGTTCCTGGAGGATCTTGGAGGTCCCCTGGAGGCCCCTGGAGATCCCTAAAGGTTCCTGGAGGCCCCCTGAAATTCCCTGGAGGTACCATGGAAGTCCCTGGAGGCCCTTGGAGGTCTCTGGAGGCCCCAGGATGTCCCTGGAGGCCCCCTAGAGGCACTTTGAGGTCCCTGGAGGCCCCCTGGAGGCCCTTGGAGGTCCTTGGAGGCCCCTGGATGCCCCTTGAAGTCCCTGGAGGCTCTCTGGATATATGTGGAGGTCCGTGGAGGTCTCCTGGAGTTCCCTGGAGGCCCCTAAAGACCTTCTGGAGGTCCCTAAAGGCCCCTGGAGGTGCCTGGAAGCCCCTGGAGGTCCCCTTGAGGCCTCTGGATGCCCATGGAGTCCCTAGAGGGCCCCACGATGTCTCTGGAGGCCCCCTAGAGGCACTTTGAGGTCCCTGGAAGCCCTCTTGAGGTCCCTAGAGGCTTTTGGAGGTCCCTGGAGGCCCCTGGATGCCCCTTGAAGTCCCTGGAGGCTCCCTGGATATCTGTGGAGGTCCCCCTTGGAGGCCCCTAAAGGCCTCCTGGTCGTCCCTAAAGGCCCCTGGAGGCCACCCGAATGCTCCTGGAGGTCCCCATGAAGCCTATGGAGTCCCTGAAGGCCCTCTGAATGTCCCTGGAGGTCTCTAGAGGCCCCTTGAGGTCTCTGGAGATCCCCAGGAGGTCCCTGGAGGCCCCTAAAGGACTCCTGGAGGTCCTTATAAGCCCCCTGGAGGTCTCTAGAGGCCCCTTAGAGACCTATTGAGGTCCCTGGAGGCTTCTAAAGGCCTCCTGGAGGTAACTAAAGGCCCCTGGAGGCCACCTGAATGTCTCTGGAGACACCTGGAAATTCCCTGGATGTCTCCAGCGGCCCCTGGAGGTCCCATGGATGTCCCTGGAGGCCCCCCTAGAGGCACTTTGAAGTGCCTGGAAGCCCCTGGAGGTCCCTGGAGGCTCTTGGAGGTCCCCGGAGGCCCCTGGATGCCACCTAAATGTTCCTGGAGCTCTCTAGATGCCCCGTAGAGGCCTCTTGAGGTCCCTGGAGGCCGCTAAAGGCCTTTTGGTCGTCCATAAAGGCCCCTGAATGTTCCTGGAGGTCCCCATGAGGCCTCTAGAGGCCCATGGAGTCCCTGCAGGCCCCAGGAGACCCTCTGAATGTCCCTGGAGGTCTCTAGAGGCCCTTTAGAGGCTCCTTGAGGTCCCTGGAGGCCCCCTGGAGGTCCCTGGAGGCCCTTCGAGGCCCCTAAAGGACTCCTGGAGGTCCTTAAAGGCCCTTTGGAGGTCTCTAGAAGCCTATTGAGGTCCCTGGAGGACCCCTGGAGGTCCCTGGATACTTCTTAAGGCCTCCTGGAGGTAACTAAAGGCCCGTGGATGCCCTGAATGTCTCTGGAGGTCCTTGGAGGTCTCTGGAGGCCCCTGGAGGTCCCAAAAAGTTCCTGGAGGCCCTTGGAGGCCCCTTAATTTCCTTGGATGTTTCTAGTAGCCCCTGGAGGTCATGGATGTCCCTGGAGGTCCCTGGAGGCCCTTGGATGCCCCTTGAAGTCCCTGGAGGCTCCCTGGATATCCGTGGAGGTCCCCTGGAGTTCCCTGGAGGCCCCTAAAGGCTTCCTGGAGGTCCCAAAAGGCCCCTGGAGGTGCCTGGAAGCCCCTGGAGGTCCCCTTGAGGCCTCTGGAGGGCCATGGAGTCCCTAGAGGGCCCCACGATGTCCCTGGAGGCCGCCTAGAGGCACTTTGAGGTCCCTGGAGGCTCTCTTGAGGTCCCTGGATGCCCTTTGAGGCCCCTGGATGCCCCTTGAAGTCCCGGGAGGCTCCCTGGATATCTGTGGAGGTGCGTGGAGGTCCCCCTGGAGGCCCAAAAGGCCTCCTGGTCGTCCCTAAAGGCCCATGGAGGCCACCCGAATGTTCCTGGAGGTCCCCATGAGGCGTCTGGAGGCCCATGGAGTCCCTGGAGGCCCCAGGAGGTCCTCTAAATGTCCCTGGAGGTCTCTAGAGGCCCTTTAGAGGCCCTTTGAGGTCCCTGGAGACCCCCAGGAGGTCCCTGGAGACCCCCAGGAGGTCCCTGGAGACCCCTAAAGGACTCCTGGAGGTAATTAAAGGCCCCCTGGAGGTCTCTAGAGGCTCCTTAGAGACCTATTGAAATCCCTGGAGGCTTTTAAAGGTCTCCTGGAGGTAACTAAAGGCCCCTGGAGGCCCCTGGAGGCCACCTGAATGCTCCTGGAGGTCCCCATGAGGCCTATGGAGGCCCTCTGAATGTCCCTGGAGGTCTCTAGAGGCCCTTTAGAGGCCCCTTGAGGTCCCTGGAGACCCCCAGGAGGTCCCTGGAGGCCCTTGGAGATCCCTGGAGACCCCTAAAGGACTCTTGGAGGTCCTTATAAGCCCCCTGGAGGTCTCTAGAGTCCCCTTAGAGACTTATTGAGGTCCCTGGAGGCTTCTAAAGGCCTCCTGGAGGTAACGAAAGGCCCCTGGAAGCCCCTGGAGGCCACCTGAATGTCTCTGGAGACCCCTGGACGTCTCTGGAGGCCCCTGGTGATCCCAAAAAGTTCCTGGAGGCCCCCTGAAATTCCCTGGATGTCTCTAGCGGCCCCTGGAGGTCCCATAGATGTCCCTGGAGGCCCCCCTAGAGGCACTTTGAAGTGCCTGGAGGCCCCCCTAGAGGCACTTTGAAGTGCCTGGAAGCCCCTGGAGGTCCCTGGAGGCCCTTGGAGGTCCCCGGAGGCCCCTGGATGCCCCTTGAAGTCCCTGAAGACTCCCTGGATATCTGAGGAGGTCCGTGAAGGTCCCCGGGGGGCGCCTAAAGACCTCCTGGAGGTCCCTGGAAGCCCCTGGAGGCCACCGGAATGTTCATGGAGCTCTCTAGATGCCCCGTAGAGGTCCCTTGAGGTCCCTGGAGGCCCCCTGGAGGTCCCTGTAGGCCATTGGAGGTCCCTGGAGGTCCCTGTAGGCCATTGGAGGTCCCTGGAGGCCGCTAAAGGCCTTTTGGTCGTCCCTAAAGGCCCCTGAAGGCCACCTGAATGTTCCTGGAGGTCCCCATGAGGCCTCTGGAGGCCCATGGAGTCCCTGGAGGCCCCAGGAGGTCCTCTGAATGTCCCTGGAGGTCTCTAGAGGCTTTTTAGAGACCCCTTGAGGTCCCTGGAGACCCCCAGGAGGTCCCTGGAGACCCCTTAAGGACTGTTGAGAGTCGGGACCAAAGAACCAAAGCTCAACCCCTGCAAGCACAAATTAGGTGAGTACAACTAGGTGAATACAGCTGAGAGGCGGGACCAAACAGCTGAAGCTCAATTCCCTACGCATAGCTAGGCGAGTCCATAGGAATTACCGTTTGTCCTGGCGCCATCTATGTTTTGACAGCAGTACTACTAATGTTCCCACGTTATATGATGATCTCTATACGGGTGTTACGGTCAGTTGCTCTTCTATATATGTTTATGGACAACG